ATTTGGTGGGGTCAGTGTTCTAGATTTTGGCCATTCCGATAGATAATGTAGTGGTATCTTCTTGTTTTAATTTGCGTTTCCCTGATGACAGATGATGTGGAGCACCTTTTCATATGCCCCTTTGCCATCTGTGTATCTTTGGCTAGGTGTCTCTTAAGGTTTAAGTTGGGTTGTTAGTTTTATTGTTGAGTTTCAAGAGTTCTTTGTATATTTTGGATAACAGTCCTTTATCAGATAAATCTTTTGCAAATATTTTCTCCCAGTCTGTGTCTTCTCATTCTCATGACAGTGTCTTTTGCAGAGCAGACATTTTTAATTTTAGTCAAGTCCAACTTACCAGTTTCTTTCCTGGTTCATGTGTTTGGTGGTGTTTTTGAAAAGTCCTCACTAAACCCAGGGTTATCTAGATTTTCTCCCATTGTCTTCTGGGAGTTTACATTTAGGTCAGTGATCCATTTTGAGCTGGTTTTTTGTGAAGGGTGTGAGATCTGTGTCTAGATTCATTTTTTTTTTTTTTTTTTTGTATGTGGATAGCGAGTTGTTTCAGCATCATTTGTTGAAAAGGCTGTCTTTTCTCCATTGCCTTCATTTCTTTGTCAAAGATCAGCACAGATCACAGTTATTTTAAAGTGAATTCTAAATCTCAGGTGTGAATTCTCTTTAAGCTGTATATCAGTAAATGCATTCTACTTGCAGGGGCATCAGGGATAAGTGAGTTCTGCTTTTATACATATGCTGTTCCTTCTCCTTAGAATCCTTCATGCTGTTTTACTTGATTTAGTCATTCCTTCCAGAAATACTTGAGTACCTGGTCTGGGCTGGGTACTGTCCTAGGTGCTGGAGACACAAGCGTGAGCAAAACAAACAAGGTCTATTCTCATGAAGTTTCTCAGTGCAGAAGTTCTGAACCAGAAGTTGATGGTTCAGGGATCCTGGGAGTTCTCAAGACCCTTTGAGGGTCAAAACTGTTTTCACAATAATGAGACATGAGGGTAGGGTGGAGTTTCCCAGAGGCTACATGGTATGTGGCATCTTAACAGATTAAATGCAAAAGCAGGTCATAAATGTCTAGTTGCATTTTATTGTATCAGACATTGAAAAGATGTGCAAAAATGTGAAACACAGACATTTTTCTCCCTATTATGGAAAATATTTTTTATAAACATTTAACATGTCATGGATTTTTTTTACATGTAATGTAAATGTAATGGTAATTTTAAAATAAATACTTAAAAAATTTATTAGATTGAATTTCTAATATAGTAAATATCAGTACATATAAGCCACATAGACAAAAAGCTCTTTTGGAGTCCTCAGTAATTTTTTAAAAGTACAAAGTAGTAAAGAATAAGTTTTTTAAGTGCTCAACATCACTTGGCATCAGGGAAGTACAAATCAAAACCTCAATGAGATGCCACCTCACACCAGTTAGAATGGCTAAAATTAACAAGTTAGGAAACAACAGATGTTGGCGGGGATGTGGAGAAAGGGGAACCCTCCTACACAGTTGGTGGGAATGCAAGCTGGTGCAGCCACTCTGGAAAACAGTATGGAGTTTCCTCAAAAAGTTAAAAATAGAGCTACCCTATGACCCAGCAATTGCACTACTGGGTATTTACCTCAAAGATACACATGTAGGGATCCGAAGGGGCACCTGCACCCAACGTTTATAGCAGCAATGTCCACAATAGCCAAACTGTGGAAAGAGCCTAGATGTCCATCGATAGATGAATGGATAAAGAAGATGTGGTATATATATATATATATATATATATATATATATATATATATACACACACACACACACACACAATGGAATGCTATGCAGCCATGAGGAAAAAAAAAATTTTGCCATTTGCACCAACGTGGATGGAACTGGAGGGTATTATGCTGAGCGAAATAAGTCAATTAGAGAAAGACAAGTATCATATGATCTCATTGATACAAGGATTTGAGAAACAAGACAGAGGATCATAGGGGAAGGGAGGGAAAAATGAAACAAGACGAAACCAGAGAGGAAGACAAACCATAAGAGACTCTTAATCTCAGGAAACGAACTGAGGGTTGCTGGAGTGGTGGGGGGTGGGAGGAATGGGATGGCTGGGTGATGGACATTGATGAGGGTATGTGCTATGGTGAGCGCTGTGAATTGTGTAAGACTGTTGAATCACAGACCTGTACCTCTGAAACAAATAATCCATTATATGTTAATGAAAAAAAAAAGCCCCTCCCCCCGCCCATGGCTAGATAGGTTTAAAGGGTTTAGAAGTCATAGGATCAGCTATTCAGTTCGAAGGCAGTCAGTAGGCAGTTTGTAAATGAAAGGGCATAACTATGTTCCAATAAAACTACTTCCAGAAACTGGCAGCTGGCCTGCAGTTGTGGTTTGCCAACCACTGGTGTAAAGTGTTCCTGATAACAAAAAAGTTTGAGAACTTGAGTTATGAGTAAAAAGTTGGTGTTGTAGTTGGGAGGGAACAGGGTAGAAAATAATAGTCAGAATTTCAAATGGTGACATATTGTGAAGATAATTAGAAGGGTCATCTGGCCTTTAGATAAAGTGATCAGGAAAGGTACCTTAAGGAGCTGACTTTAGTTAACTGGTTACTTGTTCAAGGACTTAACTAGGTATCATCTTTTTTGATTAGAGATCCCTCTTGCATTGGGAGGGAAAGCAAATGATAGTTTAAATTTTTATTTTTATTTTGAAGGTTATTAGACTTAAATTCAGAAAAGATTAATTTTTTAAGTTGAATTATAGACTATCCAAAGCATATTTACTTAAAAGGATTGTGGAACGGGCCCCTGGCTGGCTCAGTCAGTTAAGTGTCCGACTCTTGATCTCAGCTCAAGTCTTGTTCTCCGGGTTGTGAGGTCAAGCCCTTTGTTGGGGGATTTAGATAGATAGATAGATAGATAGATAGATAGATAGATAGATAGATAGATAGGTAGGTAGAGGAAATTATACAGCCTGGGTTAGAACATTGACTTAAGTTACATGACATTTAGCAAGTTATTTGTATCGTTTTTCTTTTCTGAAAATGAAAGTTGGTTAAAATTTCTTCCAAATTTAAAATTTCTGGTATGTTTGTTTGCTTTGCCTAGGTTGCCATTTGCCCCCCTCCGCCCATCCCTTCTAAGTCTGCCCCGATCAGATAAGCTCCAACTTCCATAATTTACTGGTTTTATGATCTGAAACATTTATTTTGTAAATTTATTTTCTTACCTGTGAGGTAGGGGATAGATGCCTAACCTGGAAGCTCACTGAAATGGTGAAATAAAATCAGTGTATGTAAACCTTCGAGGACGATACCTAGTACATACTAGGTGTTTAATAAATGTTTGGGGCAGCTGTTTTAATGAAAATGGAGAAAGGTCTCTATTTTGCCTCATTATTTAGCTTGCTGACCCTGCAGCCTGTTTAGACTATAGCAGTAAGAACAAAAGCAACAACAAACAGGCAAGGTCCAGTGAGAGGCATGACAATTAAATATGAAAACTCATGTAGAGTGGTTAAGGAAGTATAAGAGCAGTATCATTCAAATTTATGTAGCCATTCCAACTTCAGGGAAAGGACAGGGAAACAGCCATCCTTGCCACCAAAATCTTGATTCCCTTGTTGGAGATTGAGGGTATTGACATAATGAAAAAATGCTTTACTATACCAAGACAAAAGGTAATTTTAGCAAAACTAAATTAGAATTGATTTCTTTTGGAATGCAATGCAATGCAAAACAAAGATTGAAATTATGAGAAAAAAATATGTGACCATAAGATAGATCTAGCAGGGTCAGTATCAGAATTATGTGCAGAAAAGAAACTAATAGATGGGAAGGATCAAAGAATAATTAGAAGAGAAGTCCACAAAGGTGAAAGATTTGAACCTTTGGATTGAAAAGACTCACCTAGTGTTTTGTTCAGCAAGTGCTGATGGCATATACATAGATGTTTTGGTGGAATTTTTTTTTTTTTTAGGATTTTATTTTCAAGTAATCTTTACACCCACGGCAGGGCCTGAACTCACAACCCTGAGATCAAGAGTTGCATGCTCCACCAACTGCCAGCCGGATGCCCTGGTGAAAATTTCTTTCAGAGACAGAGTCCAACAAGCCAGCGAGAAAATGTTACCTGCCAAGGAATAAGAATAAAAATGGCAGTAGATTTTTCATCTACATCATTACATGTCAAAAGATCATGAGCAGAATTTACATAGTTCTCAGGGGAAAAGGGTGTGACTAGAATTGTAAACCTGTGCATTTTCTGTAAGAGCTTCAGACTGCCAAGATTGAGACTCTTGTATGTCCTTTCTGAAAACTTTCTTGAGGTATGGTGGCTGTGCCAAAAAATGAATCATAATTAAGGATTCAAGGGGAAAAATGGGTATTTGTCTTATTTTTTAAAAGTTTTTATTGTAATTCCAGTACAGTTGACATACAGTGTTCCGTTAGTTCCAGGTGTACAATATAGTGATTCAGCAGTTCCATACATCACCCAGTGCTCATCACACAAGTGCACTCCTAATCCCCAAGGATGGGTATTTGTTTTGTGATATGATTGTGAGAAATGAAACCAGAATGGTTGCAGTTAGGTTTAAATGATTGTTTTGACACAGTTTTGAAGTTTAGTATAATCTTTATTTTGGCAGGTGAGAAAGAGAAAGTTTTACTATTAGCATGGTAAAAATGGGCTTGCCTTGTTTTGGGAGATGTTAGTATTTTTATTCTTGATTTAATAAATTGTAGATTCGATGTGAAATAAAAATATCATGTAGTAGCTAGTAAAATAGAATTGGGATATAGAACCATGCTGTCCAACAAAACTTTCTGCAGTTGTGAAGACATGGTTGTGCTGTTTTGCATTCCCACCATCAGAGTGCTTATTAGTGCTTGGTATTGCCTGTTAAGTTTGGCAATTCTAGCTAGTTTTAGAGTTATGATCCAGAAGTTTGGAGAACATATTAATATTAATGGCAAATTATTTCTCTTTTGGTTCAAGAAAGGCAGTTGAGATTTTTTGGGACCTAAGGTAATGACTTACACATACATATTTTGACTATATCCTCAATATCCTACCAAAAGACCCAACCAATTCATAAAAAACACTCTGCCGTGACTTGGTGCTGATACACCATCTTCTCTTCCCCCCCCCCGTCCCCCCACCAAAAGAGAATGACTATGCAGAGACTTTGCTGAGACTATGGAAACTCTCAGACTGAAACTTTCTTAACCTCCAACTTCCTGAGCTAGACATCTTCTGTCTTCTTTGTTCTTACCATGGAGAAAGTATTTCTTCTAAAAAGGTCTAGTCACTCTGTCTTGACTTTTGAATCCCCCATCACCAAGAATTTTATTTTATCACATAGCTCCATTTCTTGGGATTACTACCCTCTTTTCTGGACTCTATCAGCATTCACTATATTCTGGTCTCTCCCATTTAAAAAAGAAAAAAAGGAACCAAGTGGACAACTTCTCTGGGCCTTTCAGCCACTCTCTAACTTGCCTCTCTCCACAGCCATGCTTTTTGTTAACAGAGCATTCTCTTCAGTCTCCTTTGGTCTGATTTATGCACCAGCCATATCTCATCTCCAAGGTTGCTCTTGCAGAGGTCACCAGAAACTTCTATAATGCCAACCCATGAACACCTGTTAGGCATGATCATACTTGACCTCTCAGCAGATTCCACATGGTTGACTGTGCCATTATTTTTACTACTTCTTACCATAGATTTTTTGTTATTTATATATTTGCACCTTTTACCAGATCACCATTTCTAAATTACTTATTTTGATCCATTTCTTGATTATTTTTAATCAGTTAAGAAGGGTTCATGGGTGCTATATATTCCATGAATTCTTGCATGTTCAAGCATGTCTGCTTGTTGCCTTTTAATTTTTTTCAGATTACAGAAAGAGTACAAGTTCTCTATATAATAAAGCATACTTTATTCTAATATTTGTACATGTGAGTGTTTATAGATCTTCTTGTCTGTACCTTCCCTTGACTTCTGAGATACTGCTCTCTCCTGCTTTTCTCTCACCTTCGCTTTCCTTTTCGGTTGTTCAGGTTTTTGCTACTCCTGTGAGCCTCAGCCAGCAGTTGGCCACACCTACGGTTGAAAATGCAGAATCTCAGGCCCAGCTTCAGAATAATTCTGATTCTAAGACAGAACCTGCAATAAGATCCCTAGATGATTAGTTGGCACCATAAAGTTTGAGAACTGTTGCAGTCTAGGCCACTGCCTCTCATCAGTGAACTCTTCAATCTTTAAATGTTGGGATTTCTTTTATTTTAGGCGTGCTCCTCTTCCCTGTGATTTCAGATAGCATTGTGTGTTAATGCCTCCTCCTCTGCGCTCTGAACTCCTATACATCAACTGCTTTTCTGCCAAGATCTCTCACAGGCATCTAGATCACTCCCACTTTGCATTTCATCTGCTACTATACTGCAGTATCTAGCATAGTGTCTAGTGGGTTCTGATTCAGTATAGGCTGTTTTTTTTTACTGGGGTGGAAGTCTCAAAATAGAGTGATTTCTGCAGTAAAAAGGCAAATGTACATTGCTTTACACATTTGAATTGGGGTTTGCACTTTCCATTTACTGGGCTGTCACCTTTGTTCAGACTTCTGTTTTTACAGCAGATCATTTTACCAGATTATTGTCCTGGGCTTTCTCCATTTCAGATCACCAGTCTTACTAGATATAAGTAACTCTTCTTCTATAGCAGCGGAATTTTCAGAATTACCTTCAGGAAAATAGAGATTTTAGGAAAATACATACAATTTAAATTCATCATATTACTTTGCTACAGTTTTGGAAATTAAAAATGGTTGTTTAATTTTTTTCCTTAGCATTATTGTTTTATAATGAAGTTTGATTTTTTTTTTTTTAACTTTTGGCATTTTAAGCTGTTAAATTTTTAAGGAGACTTGGATTAAATTTAATTTTGTCAGTGTGTGAGAGGTAAATCTTAAAATAGATTTTTAACATAACATTTTCTGCATAATACCCTTCACAATGTCAAATGTAGAAAGTACTTCTTTTGCAAAAAGGACTTAAAGGATGAAAGCCCTTAAATGTTTTGGATGGAGTTTATTTAACCCATTGATTCCTAATAGAACAAATTCATAATATGAACCTATACTTTATTTTACAGTGAATATTATATCATTTCTAGGAGTAATTTTTGGAGAAGTAAAAGAAGGCTGGAGATATTTGCATCCTATCTTTTTTACTAAATTAAAAATGCAAATTTCACTTCTTACTTTTTTTTTTTTTAATATTTTATTTATTTATTTGAGAGAGAATGAGAGACAGAGAGCATGAGAGGGAGGAGGGTCAGAGGGAGAAGCAGACTACCTGCCGAGCAGGGAGCCCTATGCGGGACTCGATCCCGGGACTCCAGGATCATGACCTGAGCCGAAGGCAGTTGCTTAACCAACTGAGCCACCCAGGCGCCCTCACTTCTTACTTTGACACTTGTTTTCACAACTCTCAATCAGACTAGTCTTGATAAAGCAGTTTATTTATTGTCCCCTTTGAAGAAAAAAATTGCTAAAAATTACGTCTATATCATGCCCAAGGCTGTACCTCCTCTGTATGTTGTTTGTAACTTGCTCTACAATACACTGTGATCCTTTTTTGCATGTGTGAGTACATTTCTCCATGTTAAACCTTTATTTGTAAGTAACTGTATTAGCTTCCTGTTGCTGCTGTAACATAACATTGTCACAGGTTCAGTGGCCGGTGTTAAGGATGCAGACATCTTTGAGGGGGGCATTATTTGCCTGCCATAGTAACATTGTGTAAACTTCAAAAAATAGTTGTTGTGTATTACTAGGTATTAGGTATGACTAATCAGAAATTGTTCATCAGTCCTTTATAAAAAGAAACCAAGTTTTCCACATGAAATCAAGAATAAAAGTTTAAGTCCATCCACTTTTACTCTAAGTATGTTAATGTGACAAAGCAATGATTAAATGCTCTGAAATTACTGAGGGCATTGAAGGCTGATTATAAAATGTTTTGATGTAGATTAAAGTCTACTCAAAATTAATACCAAACTGGGCTTGAGATGTAGGCTTTAGAAAGTATAGGTACTAGGTCATTCTTCCTAAATTTTGGATTTTTGTTAACTTTTTTTTAATGGGCTTGTCTTAGTGTAATATAATTTTTGTGAAATTTTAAGCTCTTTGTAAAACCAGTGTAAATATTCTACCTAGTCGAGAAATTTATTAAGGTTTATTGTGCTAAAGGTTAGTTAAATGGCAGTTGATCTTTGGCAGACATGTTTGATCACCTTTACGAACTCCAGAGTATCTTTTGGAACCCACACATTTAAAGTATCTTTTGTAACCCACACATTTAAACTATCTTTTGGAACCCACTAACTAGTAGGTGACCTCAAGCAAGGCGAGAAAGTTTGGAGATGTCGGGTGAATATATATTTTGGAGTATGTACCATCTATGATATACATAAATTACCCATCTCCCTTAATCCAGACAAAATCTGTGTGAGGCTGGAAATACTGTCCCAGTTTTATGGCTGAGCAGGTGGTGAAGACTGGGTTTGAATCCAACTGTGTGTAGGTGACTCCAGAATGCCTACGCTTTTATTGTCCTGACTCACTTGTTGAGAGGTTTGTGTGTAGGTTAATGGTTTTCAGATGGTGCTATAAGTCTCTGTAACAGATCCTTTGGAAGTTTGGGAAAAATGATTTTTTTTTTCTCAGAATCATTCCTTCCCTTTGACTTGTTTTATACATTTCGGTTCAGTTTTAACTGTTTGGAAAGAGTTTCCCTGCCTAAAACATTTGGAGTCTCCTGCCCTAGAAACCTGAGACCTTTCTAGAATGAATATTTATTAGAAAATAAAAATTTAAGTAATAATTTGTCAGTGAACAGTCTTTATCTAATTTTAATGATATTTCTATTCCTAATGATGTTTTGTGTAGCCTAATATTAAAATGAGGTTGAAGTGTTTGAACACACTATTAAGAGGGCTGGGAAGTGATTAGAATTAAGATTTGATGTGGAAAGTGGGTAATCTGCAACTTACTGCACAGAGTTCACTCCCACTACAGCTCCTGCTGCGTGTGAAGGCTGCCCTGTAAGCATGATGTAATGACAGGTTAAACCCCGGAGTGTACTACCTGACGCAGTGCAAATCTGAGGCCCAAGACTTTATTGGGGCACGGGTAATGCTTCTTTAAAAACACAACAAGCTTCTCTGTTTAATGAGGCCATTTAAGATGGTTTTCCCAGAGTGGGAAGAGAGTATAATCTCAGTTTGGAGGTTGAAGGAGTTTAATATGGTTATGTAGTGTTTACTACTCTCACTGCAATCTTTTCGAAGGGAGAGAAGGAGTTGCAAGTATGGTGCCAACAGGGGTAGAAGTAGAGGAGTGAGTTAGAACTGAGGAAATACGGTAGTTGACGCCCGGTAAATAGTGAATGAAGTGCGGAGAATGCTTTTACTCTATGTTCACATGGTTAACCAGGAGGAGAGCACTTGTCTGGCCATATATGTCCCATATACCCTGTGTAGGTCTTAGGTTGAAATCATACAAAATTGCCAGTATCTGTTTTGTTCTACAGAAAGGCATGTTTCAATCTAAATGTAAGCTTGTGGAACTGCTGAGGTCGCAGTGTTGCTGGGGGTCAAGGGTAGGGTTGGAGGTGCGCTGCGCAATGCCCCGGGGCAGTCCTGGGCTGGGAGGGCGGAGCTTGCAGGCGTGCCCACAGCGTCAGCCCCGCCCCTGCAGGCCCCGCCCCGCCAGCCCCGCCCCATGCTAGCTGCGCCGCGAGCCTGGGGCCGGCTGGCACTGCGGGCTGGAGCAGGCTTGCCCAGCAGCGGCCAGGCCCCAGCCCTGGGCTCCGCGTGGCTCTCCCGGCGGGTCGGACCCTATCGTAGCTCCAGAGCTGGCTCCGAGGGCGCGCTTACTCCAGCCTCCTCGCACTCTACAGCCCCGTCCTTCACCCAAGCTGGCTAGCTAACGAATGTGAGGAAGACAGACTTGCAAGACTGACGGTTTAGGGCCCAGCGGAGGACAGCTCAGTGATGGCGCCCATTTTTGGAAACGCAGGCGAATTTGAGCTCGCAGGGAGGTGTGGTCGACTTCTGCTGGGACGGGAGAGGCTTCATTTCTCTGCTGCTGCGGTGGCCGGTGCTTCGGAAGAGTGAAATGGAGTGTTATAGAGCAGGGCACTTACCTTCGCTTCTTGAAAACTTGAACTCGGACATGCGTAGGAACAGAAGGTGCCCAGGAGGGGCCTCTGTTAAAAATCGTATTTGCTTCTGGGGGAAAGGCTATGAGCACCCTGACTTCTCATGACCGGGAAGTCTCCCTTACCTTTTCTGTACTCCTGGAGGGGCGTCTTGCTCACATGTTTACCAGCAGCTGGGACAAGGAAGAGAAAAGGTATTGCCGTTAATAGACTGGGTTGCTGAAACTATGAAACGGGAAAGTTCTTGTAAGCCAGTGGAATCTGGATCAGGGAGTGGCTGCAATGTAATTGAGCTCGAATTTGCAGCTCTGTTTCTTTTGATCAGCTGTACTTTTCTCTGTTTTAAACTAAGCTTCAGGTTACGTCATCACTCCTGCAGGGTTGTCTAAAGACACTTGAGCCCTTGGTTCCTACTGCAGGGCTGTTGTGTGGTTGGGTTCTTTTTGTTTGAAGATGGAGCTGGGTTCTACCTTTGGAGCTTTGGGAGGTTTTAGCAGCTGCTGCCCTGTAATACCTTCATTCACAAGAAATACCGGCCTCATTTCACTTGTTTTCAGTCTTTAGATAGGGATTTAAATTGTGCTTTCTACAGCGTTTGGAAAAATTAAGATATATTGTAACATAAGCCCGAATGATTGATGATCAGTGTACAGCTATTTGCTAGGTTAGGAAATGAAATGATAGTGATTTTCTGCTTATATTTTCCTAGTTCTAATATGTTGAATACAAACTGATTTTACTGCCCCTTGATGTGATTAGCTTGTTTTGGTTTAGTGATTTGAAAAGGCATTGGTGGTTTAGACTGTTTTGTGCTCAGGGAACCACTTTTCCAATTCGAATGTTGCTCATAAGTGAACAGTATAAAATGGACCATGAAACAGGCATATATATGGGGCATTTTGGCAATGCTAAGCGCATTGTTTCCAAGTGATGGAAAGTGAGTGCATCATCATATGCACAAAGAATCTAACACCTGGGTTCTACAGTGTTTCAGATGATGAGAATTGATTCCTGTTGTCCCTAAGTCCGTGTGATAAGCCACATTATGATGGAATTTTGTACTTTTGTAAACTCTTGAATTGTAGAATATTAGTCCACTTAGTTGACAGTGGACTTAATCTTTTTTTGGGGGGGGGCAGCTTCAGCCCTCACTTGAGGTGTCTATCCTTGAGTAATCTAGAATTCAAATTGCATTTATATGGTCACATTGGTAACCAGCATTGTTTTTTCAAAGTCACATTCTTTGCAACAGAATAACAATTATAATTGGGAAAGCTTTAAATTTGAGGCAATAAATTTTAATTTTGTTAGAAATATGGCTTATATAGTTATTGGGAATACAGTCTTAGGACATTAGTAGACTGATATTTTGTTACCCCCGAGACAAATATGGCCTGTCATATCCTAGCAAAGGTAGTTTCCTGGGAAAGTTGTTTATCTTTCATTTAGCCTGATAAGTTGCATTGTTGTCATTTCTTCCAAGTGACATTTATCTCTTAAATAGTATTTATTACTGTACTGATGAATGCTTCAGGAACACTGGTGAACCCTAGGGTACAAGGAATTCTTAACCTGTTCACTACACTGTCCCCAGGGTTGTGTGTGTCTCTCTGGTGCTTTTATCTTTATTCTTTATTTACCTTCTTTTCTGGCTCTTCTTTCCCTTTGCAAATTATATCTGATTTGTATTGTGGAATGGAAGTAGATTAGAAAGATGTACTTTCTCTAAGTACCAGACTAAGAACTTTTGAAGATGGCCTTCTAATTTCTCCTCTCTTCCTCCCACTTTTGAGGTACTGACCAGTAGGAAATAAGATTAATACATAGCTGATGTTAATTCTAGGGGAAAACTTACTAGATGAAGATGGATGATGGGATGGCAGCATACCCTTCCCCTGGTGACCCCCCTCCATTCCCTAAATCTGTGTCCAAAGCAGATTACTGTTACCATTACGCAGAGCTAATCAGAGCTAACGTCCTGGTGATCCTTTGGATCGCTTGTGACTCCCTGTAACTGTTGGGAGCTGACCTAGAATGGGAAAGAAAGAGACTGAGCAGGGGAATTGAACACAGAGGGAGGGGAAAGTTCATTGAAAACGCATTTGATTTGAACTTAAGCTACTTTAACACAGGGTTTCTTTCTTTCTTTTTTAAAGATTTTGTTTATTTATTTAATTGACAGAGAGAGAGACAGCGAGAGAGGGAACACAAGCAGGGTGACTGGGAGAGGAAGAAGCAGGCTTCCCACCAAGCAGGGAGCCTGATGCGGGGCTCGATCCCAGAACCCTGGGATTATGACCTGAGCTGAAGGTAGTCGCTTAACCAACTGAGCCCCCCAGGTGCCCCAACACAGGATTTCTTTAGTTGTTGATGGTCCAGTTTCTTTTTCAGCATTTATCCCATGTTGTCTAGTTCATCCAAGCAGATTTTTAATATATTTTTTTTTTTAAGAAAGGGAATTCTAGGGCGGCCTGGGTGGCTCAGTTGGTTAGGCGACTGCCTTCGGCTCAGGTCATGATCCTGGAGTCCCTGGATTGAGTCCCGCATCGGGCTCCCTGCTCGGCAGGGAGTCTGCTTCTCCCTCTGACCCTCCCCCCTCTCATGCTCTCTATCTCATTCTCTCTCAAATAAATAAAATCTTTAAAAAAAAGAATTCTACATGTGTCTTGGAACATTTTGATAAAAGAGATTTTATCTGGTATACAACTCCTTATAATCAAAACGCATAATTTGTGTAATTTATGGTTTTTTAAATCTTTTATTTTTTTGCTCATAGTACATTTTGCATGAAACTTAGGTATTTTGGCATGCCAACATTATTTATAAAACAAGTGATAGTTGTAATTCTTTTTCTCCTGCCTCCTTTTATTTTTATTTATGTTCTTGTTACAGAAATGAGCCGCCAGACTGCAACAGCATTACCTACTGGAACCTCGAAGTGCACACCGTCCCAGAGGGTGCCCGCCCTGACTGGCACAACTGCATCCAACAATGACTTGGCGAGTCTTTTTGAGTGTCCGGTCTGCTTTGACTATGTGTTACCGCCCATTCTTCAGTGTCAGAGTGGCCATCTTGTTTGTAGCAACTGTCGCCCGAAGCTCACATGTTGTCCGACCTGCCGGGGCCCTCTGGGATCCATTCGCAACTTGGCTATGGAGAAAGTGGCCAATTCCGTACTCTTCCCTTGTAAATATGCCTCTTCTGGATGTGAAATAACTTTGCCACACACAGAAAAAGCAGACCACGAAGAGCTCTGTGAGTTTAGGCCTTATTCGTGTCCGTGCCCTGGTGCTTCCTGTAAATGGCAAGGCTCTCTGGATGCTGTCATGCCCCATCTGATGCATCAGCATAAGTCCATTACGACCCTACAGGGAGAGGATATAGTTTTCCTTGCTACAGACATTAATCTTCCTGGTGCTGTTGACTGGGTGATGATGCAGTCCTGTTTTGGCTTTCACTTCATGTTAGTCTTGGAGAAACAGGAAAAGTACGATGGTCACCAGCAGTTCTTTGCAATTGTACAGCTGATAGGAACACGCAAGCAAGCTGAAAATTTTGCTTATCGACTTGAGCTAAATGGTCATAGGCGGCGATTGACTTGGGAAGCGACGCCACGCTCTATTCATGAGGGAATTGCCACAGCCATTATGAATAGTGACTGCCTAGTCTTTGACACCAGCATTGCACAGCTTTTTGCAGAAAATGGCAATTTAGGCATCAATGTAACTATTTCCATGTGTTGAAATGGCAATCAACATTTTCTGGCCAGTGTTTAAAACCATTGCATTCAATTTCACAGAGAATAAGGCACCCATCTGCCTGTCAACCTGAAACTTTTGGTAGGTGGAAGCTAAACACATGAAGGTAAATAAAAGGAAAGGCTGTTAAATACAGGAAACAGTTGCATGTAGTAACACTAATATATTTAAAAATAAGTCAACAGTAAACCACTGAAAAAATATATATATACACCCAAAATGGGCATCTTTTGTATTAAGAAAGGAAGCATTGTAAAATAATTCTGAATTTGTGTTGTAGATTGAGTGTACTGTTGAAAAATACTGGGTTTTTGTTTCGTGTGTTTGCCGGCGAGTTGCTGTGTGTGTGCGCGTGTGTATGTGTGTGTGTGTGTGTGTGGTTTTTTTTTTTTTTTTCCTTTAACCGACAAGCCATGTTGCGTGGTCTTGGACCACTGCTTTTCCCCTTTGTGAGTCAATACATAGTGCTGCTGTGTGTGTATATTTTTTTTGTGTATTTGCTAATTTTTATTAATTCTAGTTTTTCATTAAATAAATTTGACTTTCTTTTCTGTAATTCAGGTTTTTCCTCACTTTTTTTTGTACCTTTTTAAAGTTAGTGTCTTTTTGGTATGCATAATTGTTTATGGTAAAGTTTATACATATGTGTTCAATACGTATTTTCTTTTCCCCCATTAATCAGTTCATTAGAAATATTTTACATTCAACTCTTTTGAGAAGATACGAGTTCCAGAAAGGAAAGGTAACAGCAGAATTATCAGAAGCTATTTAAAGCAGCTGTAAGATGGTCTCTGTCTGTCTGTGTCTCTCTTTTTCTCCAGCTGAGTCAGACCTTTGAACTTACTCTTTGAAAGGTTAGGGAATACTGATTTTTTTTTTTTAATACTGGAAAAAAGAAATCAGGCTTTTTTTTTTTTCCTTTCAAATATCTTGGACAAATCACATGTTTAAAATTTGTTCTTGTATTTATTGGTTTTGCAGAAGAAGGCATCGTCTTACAGTTTGTAATCAAAAGCAAATCATTTGTTTAAAAAAAGGCAGTTTGCAAAAAATGTTTTTGGTCTTTTATAATTCTCATTAAAAGAATATCTGGCAAATTAAAACTTTTATGTGTCTGCTTTAGCTCTAAGTTTGATTAAAATCCAAAGTTATTTTCCTGTTCAATTCTGTACTTCATAACCGAAAAAAGTGTGCTGTATTTTGAAGTGTGATAGATTTATTCTAAGAATGGGTATATGGTCTCTGTATACAGAGTCTTGATTTCGTCTCTCTTGCTGACATTTTTCTTCTCACAGCTCTGTTAGGAGACTAATTTAAGTTAAAATGCTAATCACTTTTTTTCCCCTTAAAAAAAACAAAAACAAAAAACAGTTAAGACTGAGTTAGTATTTCATAGCCTAATGGAGATGAGCCTGGGCCCTACAGCAGCCTTCCAGGGACCTACATGCCAGTTGTAGCTCTAGCCCGTTTACCAGCTATGGGACCTTGGGCCCCTGTTTACTAATGTGTAAAATGGGGTTAATTATGTAGCTACCCCAAAGGGTTACATGGGATACCAGTAAGTTACCTAGAACAGTGCTTTGCACGTAATAAGCACCCAACAAATGTTAGCTGCTATTATTACGCCTTTAACTAAGCACCATACTGATAACTGTTGCTAATTACCCTGAGGCACCTAACAAGATTCTGAAATTGCCTTCTGAATGACTGAAGATCATTTTATTTTGTGTGGCTTTTATGGGTATACTAAACTTTGCAAGTCAGTTAAAATTAATTGGACTGCCCCCTTATCCCAACAGCAATTCTGGATAACAGGATTTACTTCTGTTTACCATTTTCAGAATGAAGATTTGTATAGTCTCTTCCCCTACCTAAGCATTATTTTTTGAATTGGTTATCACATGCTTGTGTAGCCATTTTTGTGGTGAAAGGGAATAGGTCAGCCACAAACGTGTATCTTGGTCTATTCCTGTTAGCATGTGTGTTTAGAAAAGCAACTTTCCCCCTACATTTGATGTATTGAGTACTTTTATGGAGGTATATCATTTTGCTTTTACAGTATTTTAAAGTGTTTCTTGGCTAGTAGTATAATGCTCAGTGTAGGGTTTTGAAGTTAGAAAATAGCCCACACTAGATCTCTGGAACTCTTTCTGTTCAGAGATGACTAAGAACATTTTTATTTTTTGAGTCCTTTGTATTTACTTGTGCTTACACACTTATCTTGAAATCATGTAATTTTGTAACCCCCTCATGCCCTCACACGTAACTTTAATAATCTTGGAAAGACCTTGGGTAGGTTTTGGGAAACCTTAGTGGGGATTGACTAGAATTTTAGCCAGTTCTCCTGACTTTAGGTACTGCTTTGTCCAGTTTGTCCATGTAAATCTTTTCCAGCGTTTATAAATAACCTGTGAACATTTATATATGTTTTCTCATTATATTCTTGGAATTCCTTTTTATTTTTTTAAGGTCTTGATACTTTTATCATCGCTTTCTGGAGAGGTTTCGGTGGACGCTTAGAGTAGCAGTGTGAAGGATTTTCCCGTTCATTGTAACTTCATGTTTTGCAAATTTGTAAGATAAGATAGTAAATTTTGTGTGTTTGACATCTAGTAAGTTATCTTTGTTAACTATATTTTAAGTCCTCTTCATATTCTTGGTCTACAGGGATGATGATATCTATAGCCACATGCCTTGGTTCACTTGAGATCTTAAATCATCCTTGTTAAAATCAATAGGCTGCTTTCTCCTATTAATGCCCTGCCTCGTTTTTTTGGTATCTTGGTGTTTTCTTCAGGGAACTGTATAGGGCTAGGGTAGGTGATACTCTTTAATTTGGTCTTTCGCATTTATCTTCTTAAACTTGAATTTGTCCTGTTGAATTGAATCATGGGCCAGTTTAATATGTTGATGGGGAACAGGTTTTTGTTTTGATCTGAGTGATTTTTATTATAATGTTGCTTAATTTTTTTTAAGGCCCACCCAGTTTCTGCAAACTACATGTATGGGAGTGGCTATCGATATTTTGGTCACCAAAAATCCTAGTGCTCTCCCCACCCCCCCACATTTAATTATAGGAAAGTTTGCCTCATTTCAGTGGTTCTAACTGGAAAATAGGAATTCAGCCTACTCTACTCTCAGCACTTGATTACCTCACAACATGGATGGCACCCACCAGGTATCTCCTGGTGGTAGACGTCACTAGTCACTGTGTCCAAAGATGGGAATCCAAATCCTCTGCATTTCTAGCAGCCACTACCAGAGATGGCACTGGCAATGAAACCATTTGCATTCCCACTCTTCATGAAGAGAATCTGTGCTGTGAGCAGAAAGCAAGTCTTGAGCAATGTCAAGGAAGAAGAGGAAAGAAGGAAATCCTGGTGTTCTGCTCAGCACATGCACTTTTTTGCCCCCCTCTTATTAAAAAAACAAAAAACCAGGTATATTTAGTAGCCTTTAAATACCACTCATAGAACCAGGAGACAATATTTGTAATCACAGATTTATAAACTGATGTTAAATATTTTATCCATCACTTAGATGGCATTTTTCACTATAATCGAAAGCATTAAAGACCTCTGCCCCTGACACAGTTATCGGTAAGGTTCAAATAAAAGAGGCAGAGTCCAGTAAAAAACATATATGTTTTAAGCAGACCATACAGAATTTCTTGATTACCACTTAAAGCTTTATTTAGTTTTAATACTTGAAGAGTTTTGAAAGCTCGTAAGTAAAAGGCATGCGGAGTACTGGTTAAATACATCCAAGCCTTCGCCTCCAGCCCTACTGAGACTTGGAGTTAACATTTTCAATAAAAAACCTCAGCTGACTGATACAAAGGGTGTTTGGATAACCCTTTAAAAAACAATGCGAGGAAAAGATCCTCAGCATCACTAGTCATTGGGGAAACGCAAGTCAAAATCAAGAGCTGCGGCTTCACACCCTGACAATGGCTATTCCCAAAAAGGAAACGGCGGCGAGGAGTGGAGAAGTTGGGGTCTTTGTGTATTGCTCGTGGGGATGGCAAATGGTGCAGCAAACGCTGTGGAGGCAGAGTTTGGGGGTTCCTCACAAAGGTAAGCAGGGACTCACCCTGAGAACAGCAACTCTGCTGCTGGGTATATGCCCAGAACTGAGCAGCAGGGACAGGGACCGCCGTACACGGTTTGTGGCAGAACTCCCCGCAACGGCCCAGAGGCGGAACCAAGCCAGATGGCCTCGGGTGAACGGAGGTGGGCCATGGTGCCCACGGTGTGCACACGGTGGACGCGTTCCGATGCACGTGGTCAACATGGCTAAACCCTGACAAGCACGTGACGTAGGTCACGCCAAAGCTTGAAGTAGCTGGAAGAGGCAAATGCGCAGACAGAACGGTTCCAGGGAGGTGGGTGGAAGAAAGGGGAGCTACTATTCAGTGGGTACAGTTTGAAGATCATGGAGAAGCTCTGGAGAGAGCGGTGATGTTACACAGCATTGTGAATGTAATTAATGTCCCTGAATTATACACTTAAAACTGGCCAAAATGGTAAATTCTGCTCTCTTGTCTCAAAAAAACCCGAGTAAGAACCTTAAAAAACCAAAACCAGGGCGCCTGGGTGGCTCAGATGGTTGAGCGTCTGCCTTCGGCTCAGGTCATGATCTCAGGGTCCTGGGATCGAGTCCCGCATCGGGCTCCCTGCTCCACGGGAAGCCTGCTTCTCCCTCTGCCTTTCTCTCTCGCTCTGTCTCTCATGAATAAATAAAATATTAAAAACAAAACAAAACAAAACCAAAACCAGTGCCAGGGGCACGCAGGGCTCTCCGCGGGCTCCGTTAGGGAGGGCGGCGGGCTGCAGGCGCGAGGGCGCCGAAGCAGCATCCGGGACCCCAAGAAGGCGGTAAGTCCCACCCTTCAGTGTGCTTGGCGGCCGCTGCTGGGTGTAGGAGGCCTCGCGATTGGGGTTTGGATCAGCTCCCTCTGCTTGCTGAAAATGGACTAACAGCATCCTCTCTTCCTTCCCGGTTTAAAGATGGCTGCATAGAAGAGAGAAAACCTGAACAGTGAGAGGACAGTCAGGGAACTTGTTTTTAAGTGTCCCGATGCTTGCTCTCCCGCTGGCCATAACGAGCCCCCTATCTGGAGCCCTAGATTCGGATTTGTAATTCAGGGCACGTTCACTTCTCACCAGCAGGCATCTGGGTAACTTGCGGACCCCGTGCTCATCCGAGGCAGTCCAAGTATCTTAGCCTGTTGTAACATTTTGTAATAGAAGAGTCTATCGTTAGAATTGCACTGCTGCATTCCCACCCGCCTTCGGAGACACGGACTTCGGCACTACTGTCCCCGTCTCACAGCGGCAGCAGCAGAGCCGGCCTAGTCCAGAGCCTGGATCCAGTCAGTCCAGGAGGAGAGAGCATGGCGTCCACCGGATCTGGGGACTGGCTCAGGCAGACAGGGCAGGAACGGGGAGTGACAAGAGTCAGGGTATCGAGTGTGGGGACCACCTCAGAATGGACGGCTGCCTCTGAGGAGCGGACTTTGTTTTTTTTTAAGATACTGTGTGCGAACATGGGCCGCTCGGCCCGATATAAATCCGCGTTTTGATTGCTGCTTCCTTCAGCATAAGCAGCACCCCATATGGGGCTGTGCAGACCCCATCCCAGGTTTCATGTCACTTGAGTACTTTACTTTCCACAGAGACTAATGGCTGGTGCTATTTTCATCTTTGTCCCATGCCCCTGCTCTGTTACTATACGTCCCCAGGTGACCCTGCTGAGCTAATGGTCTACACCCACGGTTCCTGATGCTGACCACGCATCAGAATGACCTGGGCTTAACTAAAGCAGATTTCCGGGCCCTCCCCCCACAGTTTGATTTAGAAGGTCTGCTGGTGGGTCTTGAGAATTTACATTTCTAACAAGCTCACAGGGAATACTGAAGCTTCTGTTCTGGGCACTGATGCTCTACACGTCTCCAGACAGTAATGATTTCACTGAAGACAGGAATTTAATTTTTATCAGTTTATTAACATTTCTGTAATCAACACCAGCCACCACCTGAGTGAGATTTGTTACTGTTGTGTGTGATCATGTTCACAAATTAGGGATACTTTGCTTACCTCTACCGGTATGAACAAAAATCTTTTCTGTACCTTTTTGGCACTTCATAACTTGAAATTCGGAAAAGTTGGGATTTGGGCCTACAATTTGCTATTTAAGAGACCAGGTCTGGTGTTGACAGTAAAGCCACCATCAAAAGCTGCATTAAGAACTTCATCCAGGGAGCTTGCTGTGACAAAACTTAAATCCTGTCGTACATTGCCCGGGATTTCTTCAAGGTCTTTTTCATTCCTCTGAGGAATAATGACTCGCTTCAGTCCTGCTCTGTGTGCTGCCAGCACTTTGTCTTTAATCCCACCCACCTAGGAGGAGAGAAGACAGTTACTCAGATTTCTGGTCATCCTCAGGCTGTGAAAGATCCCTGACCCAACTTCCTCTCACAGCTGTTCTGAAACATCTAAATCATCTTCCATTCTGTTATAGCGTGAGCTAGGAAAGCCACTAAAAAAGGTTAATAAACAGTGAATTCTTTATGTTTCAATTTGTGTTCTACTTAATCCTTTTAGTGGGGGAAAATGAAAAGCTTTCTATAGATACGAGCACCTCTTATGTCCATGATTCCTTTTTACACTGTCAGGTTAATATTTATATTCCATTCTGTAGTCAAAACAATCTTATCTATAGGTCGAGTCTGGAAAATCATTACATTATTTTGACCACAAATACCATTCCTACAGAGCTTAGCTCCCGCACAAGTCTGAAGCCATAACCTTTGTGTCACCTGATGAAGAAAACGTATCCCAAATGATGTAGGCTCTTACGGTGGTTTTAAAATATGTCCACGATGGTCCCTTCACAAAAGGGGGAGTCTAATTCCCCTCCCCTTGAATGTGGGCCAGGCTTAGTGACTCATAAGAAACAGAGTGCGGGGGAAGTGATGCTGTATGACTTTCACACTTAACCATAAAAAATGAGAGCTGTTGCCGCTAGGTCCGTCTCTCTGGCTCTCTTGCCCTGGAGGCAGCCAGCCGCCATACCGGAGATCACCCAACAGCCTCTGGAGAAGCCCTAAGGTGAGGACCTGGGGCATCCTGCCAACCACGACACATTTGCCAGGTCAGGTGAGTGAACCACCTCGGAAGCAGATCCCCAGCCCGGTCGACCTGCAGATGACTGCGCCTGCAATGATGGGGCCCTGAGGCAGACGAGCTCAGCTAAGCCTCTCCTGAATTCCTGACCCACAGAAACTGTGAGAATAATAAATATTGTTTTGGGTGCTGGGTTAGGCAGCATCAGACTCCAAATGCAGCTCTCAGACCCCCCAGAACACGTGAGCCCTGGAGACGGCCTGTGAGAGCTCTGCAAGCACCTGCGGCCGCACGGCTGCTCCGCGCACCCCTGCACAGCTGTCGTCTCCGTCGGCTCTTCTGGGTGCGGCTGAGGTTCACTTTCAGAGACAAACGGACTCCTCGCATGTATGAGCTCGCCTACCTTTCACTTTTGGTTGATGGTAAGGCTGTGTATACTAGACTGGATTTAAAATCCTTCTCCCTCAGAGTTTTGAAGGTCACTGAGGAGACTGAGGAGACAGCTTTTTCCTCTGTTATCTGAACAGTCGTGGGGATGAAATCTTTCTCCTGGTTGGCATAGGCCCTTTCAATCTGAAGATAACCCTCAATTCTAGGAAATGTTCCATTATTTCTTTGACAGTTTGTTCTATTCCGTTTTCTCTGTTTGCTAGAATGCCTGACAGTTAGATGCTGATTGATTGCTTTTTCTATTGTTTTTTTTCTGAATAGTTTTCTAATTTTAAAACCTAAGTTTTAAATCCAAGTTTTGTCCCCATTCTCTGTTCCTGAACTGTTCTCTCTGAACTGCCAGCTTTAGCAAGTCTTTCTCTTAAACGCTTTGAAGGCTTTTCACCTCTCATGGAATAGGTTTAAAACCGGGGCTTCCTCAAAGCTGCTGTGGTTCTCCCCTGTGGGCGTGGGAAAGCCTTCACCTGGGTGCTTCTCTGCCCTGAGAGCAAGGGATCAAGGGGAAGACCCATTTATTCCATGGACATTTCTGTGAATCCCCTGGTTTTGTTTCCCATCTCTCTCCTGCTCTCCTGGTCTGTGCCTTGTGGCTCTGAGCTCACGCTTTCCCAGATTCCTTCTGGGAAGATCGTTTCTACCTCCAATTCTATCTCACCAGCCAGGAAACTATCTTCCAGAAGTTGGTTGAACTCTCAGCTGCTGACTCCCCACTCATTTTTGAGTGTTTGTATTATTCCTTTCACTATTTGCTTAGTCTACCATCTTGAACTAGGAAGCTGAATAGTTCATGTCAGTAAAGCATTTATATTTCCTTTTAATAGCACAGATAATATTAACCACTATTAACCACTGTTACAGTCTCTTGAAATGCAGTAATTCCTGGGTAAGGTGAAGAAAGGAGATCAGCCATTCCTTTCAAATACAGACCTACAAATGTATCATAATAATAGGATTTAGAACATGGTTGAATGCCTGGTTGAATTTTAAAAACTGGGGAAATGAGAGCAGTTTTAGTGATCTCTCGACTGGTGATTCTATGATTTACTTTCACAATTACCTCATAAAAGTGTTCTCAGAATAAAGAACATTCGTTTCTTTTCTCACTTTGCTATGAACCCACCAAAATTCTGTTGTAAACTAGTACTGGTAATCAATGACTTAAGACCCTAAATGATTGCTCAAGTTCTCTGTATTTTTTATCAGTGTTTTTATAAGTAGTTTAGGGTATGGAGGGGAGCCCCAAAGCCCCATGTATATAGAACTTTTTACAAATTTAGCAATTAGACATGGTTGGTCTTTATTATAGTTTCCATTTTATACTTATTTTTCTATAAATCTATCAACTACAGTAATCTAAGTTATTTATAGGAGGTCTCACAGGGACTTCAAAAGTTGAGGAGTTAGCCTCAAGTTTAAAAAATCAGCTGCTATCCTGTTTTACACAGAAGTTATCTGCTTAACAATTTGCTAACTGGAACAAAACCTCCACTCTTCACCTCAGTGGCTGACATTTCTGATGACCAGACTGATAACTTCTTTCCCTCATAAATCTTCTTTCTTAGTAGAAGGGAAACCACTGTCAGTTTTTCTTTTATTTGATCAATATTGAAAAATGTGAATTAGTTACAAGTATAAAACTTTAATGTGTTTAAAACTAAGGTGTGTGTATATATATATACACACACCTTATATAATATAAACTATTAAACTTAAAATTAAAAAAATTTAAAACCATATAAATCACTTTCTTCAGACTTACTGGAAGAACAAGACCTCTCAGTGTGATTTCTCCAGTCATGGCTACATCTGAACGCACCAGCCGCCCACTAAAAAGCGAGGCGAGACAGGTTACTATGGTAACTCCAGCAGATGGTCCATCTTTTGTGACAGCACCAGCTGGGAAGTGCAGATGGATGTCTGTGTTGTCAAGAAGATCAAAACTTCCAGAAGCTTAAAAAAGGAAATAAGGATTTTAATGTAGAAAAAATTAAACCTGTTTTCTTTTTCTCCTAAAAAAGAGAATAAAAAAGATAAAAATGTTTTGGGTAAATGAATCCCTCAAAATATTAATGGGTGGTACAATTAGAGTGGGGTCTGGAAGAACAGTTTCATTCTACTCTAAGGAGAACTGAAAACAAACCCTTGCAAATCAGTTTCTAGTTCAGGCGCTAGCCACACAGTCCTAACATGGGAACCAGAATTTCTATGGGCGTTCAAAATCAAAGGTTTGCTACTTTCTTAAAGGTGTAACTCTTCATTTAGAGCCCACCTTCATCCTTGTCACAGAACTGGGAGATGCCTCCCGGATCACGATCCAAAGGCTCCTTCTCCCTGCTTAACAGCGCGCCTTGGCCAGGGCGAGGCCACTCACCATTAGTCAGATGGTATTTCTTCGCATTGCTGCGGAGCCAGCTGATCGCAAGATGGGCAGACTCCTTCATGACGTCCCCTAGCTGGCCAGTCAGAGTTAGCTGACCTTCGCCATCCATTCGGCTTGCCTCCACGAACATGATTTCCCCACCTAAGGGGGTCCAAGCTAAACCTATTGCCACTCCTGGTTGACTCAACCGCTCCGACACCTTGAGAGAAAGAAGAAAAATGATGAGTTCAGTCAACAAGAGCCAAATTACTTTCTGGCTGGCTAATCTCCCCACCACATGCCGCCAGAGCCTACTTACTCAGCTACGCTTCAACTCAAAGTACTTACTGCTGCACCTGATTTGAACCAAACTTCTGTTTGGCACTTATTTTTACCTTAAAACATGTGTGAATAACTTTGATTAAAGAGCCACATTTAGTTACACATGCCCTAATTTTCAAAGAACAAACTCAATTGTTTTATCTACTTAAATATTTTTATTAGGCTGCATATTTACAAATACTCTAGAACCTAACTTCATTTTAGGCAATCATGCATTTGTTTCAGAAACCAGAAACCCTTTTTCAAGCAGACATTTCTTAAATGGCCAAGTGTGAAGGTCTGTGTTCAAACCCCTAGATTTTACTTCTCTGCCACTTTTACTTTCTCTGTAACTGCTGCAGAAACACTATAAACTACTACTTCACGATGCCCCGGATCTTTTCCCGTGGGCTCGGAGGCCCACTGCACCTCCACTGCCGCTGTCAACTGAATGTGTCACTTGCCTGAGACCATCAGCCAGGTGATGAGCCAGTTCATGCAAGTCAGGAAAACACATAAAAAGTAACAATACAGCTGAAACACAATCACATTAACTTTTACTGCACCCTCTAAGCCTCTAAATTTCTTATCCTATAGAAGAAGCTATCCAGGGATGCCTGAGTGGCTCAGTTGGTTCAGCGTCTGCCTTCGGCTCAGGTCATGATCCCAGGGTCCTGGGATCGAGTCCCACATCGGGCTCCCCACACCGTGGGGAGTTTGCTTCTCCCTCTGCCTGCCACTCCCCCTGCTTGTGCGCTTTCTCCCTAATAAAAAAAAGAAGCTATCCATGTCAGAGGAACTGAGTACAACTTGTCAACCCGTCACTAATCCAAATATGAGATTTTTCCACCAGAGGTAACTTTCTCACTTAGGAGCAGAAGAACCAACAGTCTGAGTTTCTGGTTAAAGGGCTGCATTGCTGATGCTTCTTCCTTTTCCAAGGGGCTTATTAGATGGTGAAAATCCTGACTTTAAAACACTCCAAAATCATGTGTGGCATCCATGAAAGCTATTGGGCACTTATTTTTAGTGGTAAACCTGCTAGCATGTTTTGAAAGTTTGTTTCGTAAGTGAGAGACTCGGAAGTCCAAACCGCGGCATTCACAGAGCCGAGCGCATACCGGATCCCATGTCCTCGGCTTTGGCACTTGCCCTGTTCCCATATGTACTTCAGGAGAAAGACACAAAAGAGCAATACTATTTAAAGAAAACACAGAAACAACTACTTATAAAAGTGTTCCCAAAGCTCGTTTTTTTCTAATATAAAATCAATTTTCTATCCCTTAATGACATCTAATTTGGGTGGGAATTTGCCAGGGGGTCCAGTTTTACCACATGGCTCTTTTCTAGGGCTGAGTGAACTAATCCTAAAGAATTATCCTCAGTACAATGAATCGTGTAAATTTAACCGAAAAAGCCATTTGGCAGAATTCTGTTAGCTGTAACAAGAACCATCCCTTTTTTTACAGCTCAGTCCTCCAAACTCATTTGTCAGAATAATACCAGAAATGTCTCCAAAGAGTCAGGAGAAAGGTGCTTGTTGATTACTGTGTCACTTCAAGAAACCAAGCCAGTTTTCCAACTCTCCATCTGCTGGGGAGGCTTCATACTCTGGGTAGAGGTAACTGGTGCATTGTTCACTGAACAGTGGAGGGCAGGTAAGTACATATAGCCAAACCAGAAACATCCAGGCCCACGAGCATTTTATTCTGACTTGATGGTTAAGTGTTCTCATATTAACCTGAAGCTGGGAAAATGGCAAATCTATGATTTAACAACATACAGGAGGGAGAAGTGAGGGGGCTTGGCTACCAGCAACCCAAGAATCTCCGTGATTAAGGCTAATAGCTGTTATCCAAAAGGTAAAGGATCTTTAATTCTTAGATTCTTAGACTTGGAAACATTTTTTTTTTTAAGATTTCAGATTTGGGAGAGAAAATGTGCTCCTCTATGAGTGTGGGGGGGTGGGCAGAGGGGGCAAAGGGGAGGGACAAGCAGACTTCCTGCTGAGCAGAGAGCCCAACATGGGGCTCGATCCCAGGACCCCAGATCATGACCTGAGCTGAAGGCAGACGCTTAACCGACTGAGCCACCCAGGCGCCCCATCATACGTTTTTCAAAAAGATTTTATTTTTCAGTATTCTCTACACCCAATGTGGGGCTCGAACTCACAGCCCCAAGATCAAGAGTCATGTGCTTCTCCAAATGAGCCAGTCAGGCGGCCCCGGAGTCATACTTTTGAGGGCACGTGCTCTGAAACTGTAACAATCACGCATCAGGTTTCTATGTACTTTCCCTCAGAAATGAGGCGAATGCAAGTAACTGTGAATGTAAAGGGTAAGACCTATGCTTCTTTCCTGCTCTTGTGTGCAGCTTCCCAGCCATCTTGACCCGTTCGCACAGAACAATTTGTGTCTCATAGCACTCCTTAGAAAGTGATTCAACACAATAATTTCAAAACTATGTGTATCAGTACTTTTCTGTCAGTTTCTAATTGCACTGCTGGTCTGTGGAATCATCAGTTATATTAGCCAAGACAGGCCTCAGCTCGAAGCTGAGAATGTTTTCCCTGCTAGATGTCAAAGTGGAACACAAGCATCCCAAGCTCATTTTGTCATTCAATTTCCCACAGGTATATCCTTGTGCTTCAATTTCCTTATCTGTTAACTAAATCTTGTTTATAAAGAAATGGTTGATCTCTTCTTTAATAATTATATCATGGAAATCAATCATGTAAATATGCAGATTTAAGGTGTTGAAAATATTTAATGAAAGACCTAATTAATAATAGAATATGTCTTCTAGGGACACTTGGGTGGCTCAATCAATTAAGCATCTGCCTTCGGCTCAGGTCATGATCTCAGGGTCCTGGGATCGAGCCCCACTATGGGCTCTCTGCTCAGCGGGGAGCCTGCTTCTCCCTCTCCTTGCCACTCCCCCTGCTTGTGCTCTCTGTCAAATAAAATCTTTAAAGAAAAAAAGAATATGTCTTCTAAGTCTGGTTCATTCTTATCAGTTCGACGGTAGCCACGCTGAAAGAGCATCTGTGTATAATCATTGCAACTTCCTACTGTTCATCCCCCTTGATTAACTGGAAATAGTGATACCTGACCGAAACAGTAAATACGTACAACTCCTTGTGACGGTTCCAAGCCTCGATCAATGCTCACAGTTTTAGTACCCTGTTATTTACTACCGCGGCCTCATGAGAGGGATCGAGGGCTTTACGCTCATTCAGTAGTGCTTTCCCGAGCATCCTGAGCTAGGTTCCATGACAGCTCATAGAGACATAAAAGCGAATACCACTTGGAACTGACAGACTACTCAAGCACATTAGATAAAGGCACGATTCTACTCCAGCACGGGGAGGCAGTGGGGTGTGTACCAAGGGCTTCCATCTATAGGCCCTGAAGAGTCACAGATCCCTGTCTGGGGAGCAGGGACAAGTGTCAGAGAAGAGGCTGAGCAGTGTCTTAAAATATGAGTAAGAGTCTGCTGGGAGGAGAAGGGCCAGGAAGCCATCCTGAGACAGAGGCCAGCAGGTGCCAAGGACTGCAGACACAGGTAATTCCATGGCCTTCTTTCCAGCGCAAACACGTACCACACTGACTGTGCAACCTGAGCTGTGAGATGGCCGTGGGACGCGGCCACTGTCAACTGGTTTCTTTTATACCTCAGAGAGCTTTTTGTGCTCCTGCCAGGCTGTCACCACGGCAGCTATCCATCTGCCAACTTCTTTCAAGTCTTTGTACTAAGATCTTGAGCCTTGAATTCATGAATATTTGATTTTCCTAGTTGCAAATCTGTTTCCATAGCGTTCAGAAAAGGGCAGGTCAGACCCTGTTTGCCTGGGAGAGGTGCGGTGGTCCACCACTGTCAGCTCTCAAAGCCGTGTTTATAGCCCCAGTCCGGCTGCCACCGCACCGCAGAGAGCCAGCTGCTTCCACCCCTTTCAGTAGAGCCTTTTCTTGGCACAGTCAGTCCGTGGTGGGGCACCGGGCCAGGCTGAGTGTCTGACACAGGCACGTGCGGCACAGCAGGTTAAATGGAGTGCATGGGGACTTCACGACCATAACTCTTGCGGGCATTTCACTAGTGTTTATACTCTGCCCATTTCCAGCACCTGATCTTGTCTGTTTGAAAGGCAAGCATGCTGATGGAATCTCCTGGAATTCACCTTTGGATGCATTTTATTCAAGACGCTTTTATTTTTTTAATATTTATTTATTTATTTGGGGGGAGAGAAAGAGAGAGAGTAAGTGTGAGTAGGGGAGGCGTAGAGAGGGAAGGAGAGGGACAAGCAGACTCCTGAGTGTGGAGCCCACCGCAGGGCTCGATCTCACACTTCTGAGATCATGACCTGAGCCGAAATCAGGAGTCTGCACATAACCGACTGAGCCACCCAGGCGCCCCTATTCCAGATGCTTTTAAAAATGTGCATGTCTATCTTCTTCCCTTTAATATTACTATTTTTTAAGGGCAGTGACCTCTGGAAAAGGACTTTTCATACACCACTGCAGGAAGCCAGCGCTAAGGCTTTAATACAAAATATGAATGGAGTCAGGAATACTTAGAAAACACAATCTCAGGACAAGCAGGCCGGACAGAATGCAGACACTTAGGGCGTGGATGACTGGCTTTCTGAGGCTGCAACGCTACAGCTTACCTGTTCTTCTGATTGTGTCACTACATTTACAGTCTGTGAGTTTAAGACTATTATTACCCCCAGAGATTTTTGGTCAACTGCAAGACTGGCCTGCTAGGGTATGTATCCAGTGACGTGGAGGCCTCTCCTGCTTTCACTAGGATGCAAATGACAATTGTAAGATTCTCATTTCACCCTAAGGATGTTCATGTAACCAACCAATAAAAGTAATTACAACTGAGCTGACCATTATTAAAGGTCATCTCCTAACTGACCAGATCAAGTAAGATTAAGTAACTGTCACTTGATTCCTGAGCTTTCCTGCTTCCTCTGCCGCTGAATGTGGCCCCGGCCCGAGCTTCTGAGGAAGTACCCTAAGTACTCGGCATGACGGACGCCCAGAGGGCTGCAGACACCTGCGCCCACGCCCACTCCTTCCCCCCTTCTCTCCCAGTGGAGGGAGAGCGTTCCTTTCCTTTCCTTTTCTTAAAGTGAGTTTAACTGATCTTGTCTCTTCAGGAAATCTCATTGTATTAGAAAAGGTGACTTATGATACTATTCCTAAACATGAAATCTAAACTAAGTTCCTAGAAATCCTTTTCCAACCTGTTTAGGAAATTCTAAAGGGATAGAACTATGAATAAAACGTGCCTTCTTACCTTCTTCCTCACTGTTAGTGTTAGGTCAGTCACACTTTTGGCACTAACATATTTTTGCAGACTCATCTTTGATGAGAGTGAAGAACAGTTAGGGGTGGTGGAAGACTATTAAATGCAGGTATAAAATGAGGACTACAAAAACAATAAAAATGGCATTTTGTTTGTTGTTGTTGTTGTTTTGGTGATTAGGGATGATAGTTTTTTGGGAGTAAGGCAGTTGCAGGAACCAGCATTTGTGCATTTTTAGCATGTACCAGGCACTACGGTGGGGGTTCTACATACATCAACTCACCCAATCCTAAAACCCGTCTAAACACATACATGTAATTAGCCCCAACGCATCCCACTCAAGGAGGCTGCGTTTATCACCTGGTGAGTGAGGGGCCTCCTTCCTCCTCCCTTCGCCTAACCCCCTGCTCCGGCAGCTGGCTCCCCCACTTCCATTCCCTTCCCACTATGTTCTGCCTTCAGAACACTCTTCCCCTTCCTCACCACCCTGCATCCTGCTATCACCCATGGTGTCTTCGGCGAACAGCTCATGCTCTGCTGCTACCTGGCTTCTGTGTTCTCGGAACAGCTCCTCGATCCCAACAACGGCTTCCTCACCATACCTCAGCCATTCTCTTCTAGGTCCTTATCACCAGCAGAAATTCCACCACGTCTGAAATCTGAATTTGAATGCTCCCAGCCCGGATCATTTTCTTATCCCTCTAGTTCCCTTGTCTTCAAGACCATCGACGCTGTGTAACCTTCACATTCTGCACCTGCTCTGTCCTGGCTTCACTTCTCTCCCAGTGACAAGAACAAGCCTTTGTTCCATCATTATCAACATTTTCTTGTAAATAACTCACTCTTCTCGCCCCTTTCCTCATTATACCCCACAGAGGGCATCCTCGCTCGCACACGATTTCATCCCCTCACACTGTGGGTCCCACCCCATCTCACGTGCCCAAAGACTGTTCCTGCTGTCCCTCCGGCAACATCCATCCCGCTCTCTCTACTGGCTTGCTGTGATCAGCACACAGGCCTCCACTTGCAAACAGCCTCCCTGTGGCCACGTCATTTCTCTGCAATCCTTCATAGCCAAGTTCTGAAAAGAGGAGCCTCCACACTGTTTCCTCACCTCCCGTTCTTTCTTCCACACACTCCCAAATCTCCCATGCCCACCACTCCCCTCTTCCAAGGTCACCGACCTCCATGCTACCAACGCGAATACACAAACAGCAAACACATTTGGCCATTCCCTCCTTCTGGAGGGTTTCCTCCTCAGTTCTCATGGCAGGATAAAACCCATTTCTCTCTTACCTGCCTGCTTGTTACTTCTTTCGCTCTTTTTTTGAGGGCTCCTCTTCCTCTCCATGACCCTAAGTATTGGCATTCTTCAGGGCCTGCCTCTAGGCTACTGGCTCTTTCTGTGTATACTTTTTCCTCTGGTTGACCTCAACATTTCTGGGACTTGAAATATTCTCTATCTTCTGACGACTCTGTAACTCATGCCTCCACCTTGGACCTCTCCTCTGGACAATAGGCCTGCATGTCCACGTCTCCTTTCACGTCTCAGACAATTCAAACTTGACATGTTCACCATCCCTGTCTTTCTCACCACGGTAAATGGCACTGCCACACAAAAATCCTGTTGCTCCCACCAGAAGCCCGGAAGTTCCTTCTAATGACTGTTTCCTTTGTTCCCTGTATGTAAACTGTCAACAAGCCCAAGTCTACCATAAATGATGTCTCAGATGGTGCTGGAGCAGTGACCCCCCTCCCCCCCAATCTCAGTGCTGCCTGTCTTCCCTATAGCACCAATCTCAACTCACAATTACATGCTAACTTGCTTATTTTCTCTATGAAAGGAAGCACCATGAAGGTAGAGATCATACCTTGCCTGTTTACTACTGTATTTACCAGCAGCTCTTCAACACGTTATCTACTGAACAAATGAAACTCTTTCTAGAAGAAATGACAGACCCCAGACTTTTACCTTTATGGAGAATACAGGCATTTAAGCCAAAAAAAGGTGTCTTACAACATCGTGGATCACTTCAACACATACTCCAACATTCCTAGTACAATCTCTCTCCAGACCTTTTCCCCAGGATTGCAGGAAGAAGAGTGACGCAGGCCAGCCACTGCGCATTCTCTGTGAGAACCGAGACCCCAGACGTGCCAGCGCTACATTCCCCGCACGTGAGAAACAGAGCACAGCTCTGGAGGCAGTCAGGCTTGAACCAAATCTCCATTCTGGCAAAAGCTGGGTCTTCTTGCAAGTTATTTAAACACTCTAAGCCTGTTTCCTCATCTGTTCTTGGAAAGACGCCATGACTGAGGATTCAAAGACATGTCACTTGTTAGAGGGTCTTCCATGGTGCCTGATACCTAACAGATACACACAAAAAGTGGCCAAGAACCCCAGGCCAAACTCTCCCATTCCAAAACACAGCACTACACTGGGTAAGAATACAAACAAAAATCTGACGTAGAGCAGATGTCTTTTTTTTTTTTAAACTGCCATACTTCAAGCCGTTCTCTTCTCAGCAGGGAAGGGCAGGAATTAACTTGGTCGGACAGGGGACTGGAGAAGAGCAGAAAGAATACTGGACTTGCCATCAGCTGGTCTGAGTTTGACTAATGGCTTCACTATTTGCACCTTATGTGAATCTGCAGGACTCATTTATCTCTTCAAGCTTCTTCCCGGGTATAAAATGGAAGACTCCCAGCACAGTGATGGCCCTCAGGGCAATAAGACAATAAAGAAATGTTCCATAAATCTTAATCTCAGAGATGCAAAAGCTCGGGCAAGGGTGGTTAAGCAGCTTGGGGCTGATGGTTCATCAGACCACTAGAGGTAGAGACAGAAACCCCAGGCTAGAGGGTGAATTCTCTCAAGTGTGGAAAAGATGAACAAAATGTTCCAAACTCCCAAACACCAGACCTTCTATTCTAAGATGCTATTTTTAAAAGGCAAAAGGCTACTAGACTCTACCTGTCAGATTCATGTTGGTGAAAAGTGCTCAGATGCCTAAGGGAAAATGAGTTTCTCCAACGATATCAAACAGAGCCGTTAAGCAGTGTTTATAAAATTTCTCATTTCTGTTCTTTTGGTTCCTTTTTTTGCCAAAGCTTCAAGAATCTCAACAATGCTTCTAAACCTAAAAGCAACAGAAATGACTGGGAAAGAAGGGGTATATGCAACAGAAACATGCATCAATCTTTTGTTATCTGTTGCTCTAGTTTAAATTCCCAAAGAATTTCTGGAACGTACTGTTCTGGAAAGCTTAGAGAAAAAAGCCCATTGGAAATGCAGGAGTCAGAACCTGTTTTCGTCTTCACTCTCAAAACCACTGCATTCTTGCAGAACAGAAAAGTAGGTTTTGCTCACTTTCTCAAGCAAGGAAAGTTTTGCTCCATTTCTTTTAACACTTCAAAATTTAAATCCATGACATCTTAAGAATTCAAATAACCAATCTGCCTCTGATTCTTACTGTTCAAGACCAGATTTACTGTTGAGAGTAAACAAGTTCTATTCTTGTCACAGAGTTTTGTAGAGAGGTTCATTAGCCTTAATGACCAGCTCAGAGTTTAAACAGATAAACAAGATGGGTTTGGGGACTACTTTTCCTCTCCACAGTTTTAAGACTTGAGGAAAACCGCATCTACTGGTAGTGATTTTGAATGTCAGAGGGAGAGGTTATCTTCTGTATAATTTATCAGACTTATTCTTCTGAAAATAATTTTTTTTCTTAAACTGAGAGGAGGTGATGGTAAAGCTTCTGAAGAACATGCTATGTTCAGTAGTATAACAAAAATTTTTTCCAGTCACTGACCCATACTAGCTCATGTAAGAATCCTATGCACTGTATCAAAATGCCTCAGCAGACACAGACTCAATACCTTTTTCCATCCACCTGCCTCAACTAAGTCCTGGGGCTCAGGCCTTTCTGACTGGACATTCTGTGGTGAGGGACAGTTAGGGGAGAAAGATGTTAATAGGGCTGTGTGGCTTTAACCCAAGGAGCTATTAACAACAAAATGACAGATTTCTGAAAGATGCAGTCTGGGTCTGCACTAGGGCAGTTAAAGCTAGGCTCACGTTTTCAGATATTTTATGCTTAGGTTGTTTCCCTGCCTCTGTCCCCCAAGACTCTGATAGCACAAAAAAATCCTTAATTAGGCATTAATGGGAATATAGAATTTCTAAGGAGGAAAGTCAGAGACACTGTTGTTAAAATGGAACTGGAGGGCAGAGAATAAGATCAGACCGAGTTTCCAGAAAAGGGTGTGGCCAGAGTCTCTGGCTCTCTGCAAAAGACTTACTTATTATCACACTGGGCACTAAAATTCAATACCATGGAGAAAACAAGTTTCCAATCTCCAGACAAAATTCAGCCTCCCAAACCTGTTCTGACTCTCCTCCAACCTGTGAAGCAGCCATCAGAGTAAACTGGAGGCCATCAACAAAGAAATGAGAACAATCACCTCCATTTCATACATCGGGGGCCCAAGGATGTCTTTCAGAGCATGGAAATCAATCAAAATCGGCATTTCAGGTGGTAGGGCTAAGTCCGGAGTGTCACTGATAGATTCAGGTTTTGCATCTTCTAAGATCTGTTCTCTGCAACCTAAGAGAGAAAAATGTGTTTAGAAATTCTCAGAGTTTGGCAGGTTTGAAAATTCATTAGTAGTATATATCAAACAGAAGTACAGCGGGCTGTTATTTAACAGATCAGTCACCTTTATATATTTATTCAGGCACAAAAATTTATCTCATGATCTGAGGAACTCAGGTAGAGACTCTGTCTTTCAAGAACCCCCAAAGGGTGATATAATGCACCGTGTTGTTCATTTATTCTCACTTGTTTGTCTACCCTCCCACTGCACATAAGCTCCAGCAAAGCACAACCTTGTCTGTCTGCTTTTTTAACCTATTATATTCTTAAGCCAAGAACAATGCCTGGCCCTGCTCCACTTTAGAGGGCAGATACTGAAGGGTCACATGCAATAGATTACCTTGTATAATTCTGTCAGATCAACAGAACACAAAGCTTTCAACTCCCTCTTCAGAGGGGTCCCATCAGGTGTCCCATTTCCTGACAGGCGGAAAGAACTTGGAAATGATGGATCCCTGTATAAGCAATGCTTCTTTTGCAAAAAGGTTATTTTCCAATAAAAACAAGCATACCTGGCAGTGCCAGGGTAAAAGCATATGAAGCCTGGTCTGAGACCCCTATGATAATGGACTATTTCCTTGACCTGCCTAAGAGCCCTGGTTGCTAACAACTTGTCGGAGCACGGACTCCTGGTTTGAGCCTATACATACAAGGAACAGGCACCAACTGCCTTATCAGACCACCTTTCTGCTCCTCTCTGTAATTCCAGTTTGAGGAAAGAAAAACGTTATGTAAGCCTATAGCCAGAAACCTGAAATGAATAGACGTTGAAAAAATCTATGAAATATTTGTCTCTATTCATCCTTATTCCTAAGTTTTCCTTTTCTTTTAGCTTTGCCATAACTCTTCCAGCTCTTATACTATCTCATGAAATGTTGTAAAATACCTTTATGATCTTTTTTTTTTTAACATACATCCTTCCTCTGGAAATGATTACTACAATATACAACATATAATAATTATAAACTTGCCATTGTGTATTTTATTTTTGGTATGATTCTCCCTTTCTGGTATCTCACGAAGTTAAAAGAACTGTTTTTCACTAACTCTTTTCCTTCCAAAAGTGATTCCTGAATGTGTTTTATAATATTAGGCCCTCATTTTAGACTCCAACGATAACTGGAAACATCCTGGGGGCTGGGGTGTCCCTAAATTACCCCTGCATAGAACAGCCTTGCTATGACCTTCTGGGTGAATAGCTCTCTCAGTCTGCTGGGATCTCTGGGGCTCCTCTTCAAGACTGAATCACAAAAGATACATGATGGAAACCAGACAACAGCTCAGATTTTCAACCACTTGCTGCCTGTCAGACCCTCTGCCCATCATTCAACTTCGCACTACCTATCTCTACAGGGTTCTTGTGAGGATTAGAGAATTAAAGAGAAAACCCTTTGCAGACTGCAAAATGACGTTGTACCTTAAGTGTAAGTCTTGAGTTATATATATTCTCACAGTCATTTCTTTGGAATGTCATTTCATCTTTCAAAGTTTGGGTTCTAGGAAGTCTTCCCTGATATTTCCAACTTCTTACAGCACTTACCTGTTTTACTAAATCTAGCTATCACTGGGTTACTTAGTAGCTTATGGGCATGGGAGGTTTTCTGCCTGCTGCCCTGTTTGCAGTCTATCTAAGCAGTATCACTGAGCAAGGGTGGAAAGGCACCCGAATGGCCAGGTTAGCTCCCTGTAGATCTCAAAGCAGAACAGAAAGTAGGTGTCATTGCTTAATTTAAATTAATGCACAGAAAGAAAAGCACTACCTGTCTAAGGTTACTACTGTATCCTAAAAATGAAGGGCTCTGAAACTTCAGCTGATGCATAGAAGAGGCTTCGAGGTTCTTTAGCCTGGTGTGCTTTTGGACGACAGGCTTTTCTGAGATCTAATTACTGTTGCCAGCCTGGAATTCACGATCACAGGAGGAGGTCAAGCTGGATGGGTGAAAGCCAATCCACAATTATGTAACTAATGCTTCAGGACATCCAATCCCTTTCTCCAAGTAGAGTAGTCAACTTAGTGCTTTGAGTACTGAGGAAGTGGCGGTGGGGAGAGCTATTTCTTTTTTTTTTTTTTAAGATTTTATTTATTTGAGAGAGAGAGAGAGAGAGCACAAGCAGGCAGAGGGACAGAGAGAGGGAGAGTAAGAAGCAGGCTCCCCGCTGAGCAGGGAGCCGGATGCAGGGCTTGATCCCAGGACCCTGGGGTCATGACCTGAGAAGGCAGATGCTTAACTGACAAGCCACCCAGGCACCCCGGGAAAGCTATTTCTTTTTCTTTTTTTTTTTAAAGATTTTATTTATTTATTTGAGAGCGAGAGAATGAGAGAGCACATGAGAAGGGGGAAGGTCAGAGGGAAAAGCAGACTCCCCGCCGAGCAGGGAGCCCGATGCGGGACTCGATCCCGGGACTCCAGGATCATGACCTGAGCCGAAGGCAGTCGCTTAACCAACTGAGCCACCCAGGCGCCCTATTTTTTTTTTTAAAGATTTTATTTATTTATTTGAGAGAGAGAATGAGACAGAGAGAGAGAGCATGAGAGGGGGGAGGGTCAGAGGGAGAAGCAGACTCCCTGCTGAGCAGGGAGCCCAATGTAGGACTCGATTCAGGGACTCCAGGATCATGACCTGAGCCGAAGGCAGTCGCTTAACCAACTGAGCCACCCAGGCGCCCGGGAAAGCTATTTCTAATGCAACGAGACCTCGTAAGATAAAAGATGGCCATTTCCTTCAGGCTTTAGGCACAGCAACGTGTAAGAATTCAATACTTAGAACTAATCTGTGCTTCAAAATGCTCCGTCATTACAACATGAGCCTAGAGAACAAAAAACTCAAGCCAAAAAAATGGTGCCAGCTAAGCAGGAAAGATAGGCTAGCATGGATTTAAGTATCATCCACAAGGTCCTACATGAACTGCAAAGTGACAGTAAAGAAACAGAATTCAGAGAATTCACACTTCGATTCCTCAGTCAAACAACCAACCAGTACATCATCATCTCACAAAGATGCCCTTCAAGGCATGAAATACTGGTTACAGGTGAGCCCTCTGCGTCCTATGCATGAGCTTTCAAGCACTCAGCTCTAGTGCCACGTTTCCCCCCTGCCAGAGGGCTCAGTACCCACAGGAGACAGTGGCAGGGTCCCGAGGACTCACTGCTGGCTTTGCCTCAGACGGTAGCCTTCAAGCAAGGTGGACTTCTCAAGGTGAGGCAAACAACAATAAAGAAAGTTCAACCTCTCCCAACATAACACGAGCTCTGTCCCGCGAGTGCTTCCCGCTGAGCCTCAGTCTTCCTCTTCTGTGCCCTTCTCTTGGGCAGAAACAGTGGTTCTTCAGATGGCTAATGGCTAACAGTCACATGAAAAGGACTGTTTCACCAAGCAGCAAGGAAGTTTACATTGTAAGAGTAAGATACCATTTGTTGGTTACCAAATTAAACTCTAGCAAACTAGTTTAAGAAATGACAAAGATCACTGTTAAAGTGAAGAAATCTTCCCAAACACCGAGCTTATGGAAATATAAAGTGATTCAATCTTCCAGGAAAGTCTCCCAAATATTCATACTCACAGACCCAGTGGTCCCAGTTTGCAGGCACCTACCCTTAAGACATAATCCGAAGTGCAGATGACTATTGTGTAGGCAACAGTTTAGACAACAAAGCTACCTGCTGCAGACTGACTCTAAGAGCAAAAATGAGATCCAATATAAATACTCAACGTCAGGAACATAGTTAAACTGTGGTACAGCCATCTAAGAAAATACGACGCAGTCAATAAAATTGTTTCCTGAGTGTTTTTAAGTAATGTGAGAAAATTCTTTTGAAACAACGTCAATTTGAGGAAAGAGGAGGATATACACTTTCACACGGCATGATTTTTACTAATATAAATATACGTGAGAATGAGTGAAATGATACAGTCCAAAATGTTAAAGTTATTCCCTGAGTTATGAGATTAAGATTACATGGTGAAATAGTCAATAAATAACAGTCTCCAATCCTGGCTCTGGCTCCCCAGTTGGCCCTGAAGAAAGTTACTTTACCCCCCTGTATCTGTTTTTCTAATCTGTAAAACCATAATAATTATAGTAACCCTTGTAGAGTCGTAGAGTCGCTGGGAGAATTTAACAATGTTTAAAGCCAAAATATGTATAAATGGGAGGAAGTGAGTTATAGAGTTAGAGAAATATTTCACACAGACCTCTAAGACTCCCAGTTCTTACTCCATAGCCCCTTCTGCTGAAGAAAACAAAGTGCCCTTTGCAACCTAATTCCACTCAGGGCCCCAGAGAGAGGGCTTCAACCACAATCACAGGACTGTTGGGAGCCACATAAATTTAACATTTGTAAGAAAAAAAGGAAAAGATAACAAAATTCAAGATTCTTCCCTAGGCTATAATATATATTACTATTACATTCAATGCACCAAAATTTCCTTTACAAATAACTTGGAAGCATATTCTTAAAAATAATAAAGTGCTATTAAATAGAAGTTGAAAAGAAAGGCCATGTAAAAATAAAATGAGAAGCTAGCTCAGCCTCACTCCACTTCAACTGTTTCTTCACTTCAAAGATGGAACTGTTCTAAAAGTGGGAGGGAGCTGAAGTTCTTTTCGGTGATTCACTCTGCTCAGAGAGGTCTCCCAGCTCTTCTTTCATCCATGTTATCAATCAGCCTGTCCTAACAGAGTCTAATTCAGGATGCAGCCAGGATGGTCAAGGTATAACCAAGGAGTTCCCCAACACGAAGGCAGCAGATAAACAAGCAGCCGGGCACAAGCTGCAACGCGCTCGCTCTGCTCACCGGCGCCCCCCCTCAGGGGAGCTGATGTCACCCCAGCTATTAGGAAAAGACACTCTACAGCTACAAACTCCTCATGAGAAAGGATTAGGCTTTCCAGAGCAGCTGTCCCAGGGACATGATCAAGTGTGCTTTCCCACCCACTTTTCCTCTCTCAG